AGCAAAATAAAATGTAATCAAGAATAACTTCTATATGTCTTATATTAAGATAAAAGATTAAGTGTAAAAGAAACTTTGACGATCGATCATGGGAATTTGTGAAAATTGTCATCCCTAGTAGTAACCATAGACTGTAAAAAAAAAAGAAGGACGACGATGTATCACGTTGTATACCACACTGGCGGCTTCACTTTGAAAAAAAGAAGTGAAGCCGACAGTGTGATATAGCACGGACATCTTGGGACCCAAGTCTGCGCAGTAGTGAGCAGAAAGTAAAAATCAAGGCCCTGCCCTCACTCTGGCAGAATAAATGGCATTCGCAAGCACATGCTCCTGCACTTTCTTTGATTAATTATAGAAATTTAGATATTAAATTTAAAGCTCCAATCTACTCAGTCCTCTGAAGATCCCGAAAAAAGGTCTGTTGGTGCTTCAGTGACTACTTTACTCAGAGAACCTGTTAATCATGATGACGTCACACCACCGGCATCAAAAACAAACCTGTTTTAAAAAGAAACGCATTCGAACTTACATCAGGGTGATAAAAACTACAGTAAATGACAGAAAACATCTTTGTAATTTAATTGTTTAGTTGGTCTCACATGGTATTAAATAACATGGGGAGGCGGAGTTTATGACTTTTACTAGGACCAGTCACCTGGGGGCGATCGAGGCACTTTGGCTTCACTTTTCAGGGCTTGTTGTGCAGCACACTTGGTAGTAACAGTAGGTGTGTTCCATTCGTCAGGGTCCCTACGCAGTGTTCACTGCTCCCTACTCCCTGAACACGGTATATCATTTGAAGTGGACTTCACTGACTTCCTGTGAAGTGATGTATCGATGTTCCCTTGTTCCCTATGCCGTTTGCAGTGCCCTTGAACATGTTCGTTCCCTTCGAATTGCAATCTCACTTAAGATGGCGAAATACCCTGTGAAGTCCACTTCACAGTCCACTTACAGTCGAATGGAACGCACCTACAATCGCTTGATTAGAATCGTCTCGCACTGCACTGACATTGGTCCAAACTGATAAACGGTCCGTGACGCACAAAATAATGAGTAACGCAGTTTTGTTCGCCATTTGATGTTGGGCGATGTTGTGGTGGTCGCACCATCTTTAACTTCGCAGTCCACTTACGGTCAAATGGAATGCACCTTCAGTCAACATGATGTGGAGTGCGTTTTTAGACGCGATATGTGAACTAAAATCTACAGGCAATGCGTGCAATATCGAGCGATATATTGAACATTTTTATATCATTAACGACGATGGTGTACCATCAATAAATACCGATACCGTTTTATCGCCAAGCCCTAGACGCTCAGTGCTTCGTTACACTCCTTGCGTTTTAAAAATGTGCCGCACCATTGTAAACAATTGTAAAAATATGCCAGCCACGTGAAAAAAAGCTTTGCTGGACACAGGGCCTTACTGTACGTTCACACCGCCGCCGACTTGAGCGTTAAAGCTCTGGCCCCCATTTCAAGGACGCTTTCAAAAAGTATGGGAAAACTTGTTGACGCTTTGGGCGCTTTAGGCACTTTGAACGCTCTGACGTTGCAGGGAGAATAGAAGTGTCACAACATGAAATGTAAAAAAACAAGCAATACATTGAAGAAACCTTTTTTTAATGACAGCATTTTTATAAGCCATTATGGCCGTTTTGGTCACAATGGTCGGGAAAAAAATAGTTAGCTAAATAACTATTATTATTGCGGTCAAATCAGTGTCACCGTGAGCAAATTAATTGCATTCCCGCTTTAAAACGAGCATTCGTAAATATTTCAAATAAAAGTTGCGCTCATGCAATCCTATAAGCAAACAATGTCATGTCATAAATTATACGAAACCAGTAGGAAACACAGGAACCGCAATGATTAGCTTCTCTTCCATTTTCTCTGAGCTAATGTTTTGTTTCTTTCTGATTGACGCTCAAAACGGCCAAAACGCGACGCCGATGGAATTGACGCTCCTTGCAGCTCAGAAAAGCCAGCTTCCATTGAAAATGAATGACTTCTGGCCGCTTTGGAAGCTCAAGTCGGCAGCGGTGTGAATGTACAGTTAGCACTAGTTTATGATAAATATTTTGTAAGCTTTATATTGTAATCGGTGAACAAATCAGACATATTTTTGGCATAATTCTAATGTCCTTAGCTTGCGTTATCAAGCCTGAAGGCGCCGCTCTGATGACTGAAAGATTAGTAGCCAACATGAAAAACACATAAAATGCCATTTTATAATTGGAGCGATTTTTACGTAAGATAAACAGAAAGTACAAGTTTCACAATTTGAGTAATTTTTCATACCAGCAGCACAAACAGCAAAGAAATAGTTGTCTTAGTAAGCAGCACTTATTAAGTTGTCAATAACCTGAGCCTTGATTTGCACAAATGTGGTAAACATTGGCAATCACTTCAAATATATAAACAAATTCTTGCAAATTAATTTATATCACAAAACCTTGCATTTCTGTAATTTCAGTTATTTAGTACCAACAATGAACTATTCAGGTTTATGACGCCACTGAATAGAATTAATGAGATTTTTTAAATACATTTCTATATGCAATTCCACCGAAGTTCTGTGAAACAGGTGACAAAATATCTGATTAAATAAAATGAAAACAGAAGCATTTAATAACATGCTAAACAGATACAGCAGACACTGTAATTGAACTGGCTTTCATTTCTTGTATTCAGACTCTAATTGCTGTGTTTTTAGTTTATGACAAGTTGCAAAACAATTCAAATGTATGCATATGGTTTTACATTGGCAGTTTGTTGTGAAGTTTCATTATGAATAAATCACAGAATAATATCTGGCAAAAGTGCATGACAAACACGCCATTGCTTTCTAGTTTAAGTTTAAGATTATATCATACATCCAAAACGCACATGCCTTCCTGGTAATGTATTTCTTACTGTGCACATGTTGTAACAACATCTCATATTAAGAGATCATCTTCCCACTTGCAAAGTGTTTGTTTTGAAAGAAAGGTTATTTATTTTTTTGTTCATCATCTCATGTAAAATACTCAATTTCTCGCTTCTAATGTCGCCAATACCTACCTGTGTGTCCAATAATTTGAGGAAGAATTTGAGATTTGAATGCAGATTTATGCATTGACTTAAAAATGAGCTGCCAGATGCAGCACAGTTGTTTGCGCTGATCGTGATCCAACTGTATGTATCATGTTATCCTAAGGCGGTATTGCCAGACGCCTTTGCATAAAGGTTATTTGAGGAGGAATTTTGATTTTAAACAATGTCTGTAACATTTTTAACTGCAAACCGATGAAAACAGAACACTGGAGGGAAGCAATTGAGATTGTGTAAACAAACTTTCATCAAATGAAACTTTCCCTTGTCAAAACTTAACCATTGAAAGACAATTCTTTTGAATGGATTGTAAACAGAGAGTTTAAATGTTAACCTTCCTATTTGTCCTAAAAAAAAAAAAAAAAAATCCACCCGCCAGTGTACTTGGGTCAAATTTGACTCACACATGATTACAGTGTATTAAAAAAGAATAAATCTACATCTTAGATGTTCCCTGTGTACTTTCAAGCACTTTTTCTTTCATGATATCTCATTTGACACCTTAAAATAAAGTGTAACCGTATTTTCTAACTTCTGAATCTCTCAAACTCAATGCGTTTTCGTTTCAAATGTGCCAAAACCTCGTCCCAATACTAAAAACAAGGTGGTGAATAGAGCATTTTCCTCTCTAAAAAAATGGGTCAGAAATTACCAGAAGACATCAGAACGGTTAATAAAAAATATTAACCGGCAATATTCTTCAGTGAGTAAATTTGCACTAAGAAAAAAAATTTTTTACTCTTCTTTCTGTGTTGGTGCAATTTATGAAATTTTCATAATTCAATTTACGATAATTATCAGGATTGCTACTTTACACACACACAAATGTGTTAATTTGCCATCCTGAACAGTTGGACACCCATCATCTCAATGTAATGATCAAAATCTCAAGTCGTACACCAAGGAACGGATTTTGATGCTCATAATTACAATAACATTCCAATCACAAGCCATCTACTTAGCGACATTAGCGGCTCTGGTCTGATGGAGATATTATCCCCGGTTATCTCACGCTGTTATTTTTGGATGGTACGGATCAAAGCTCCCATGCTGGCACACTGCGTAACCTGCCCAGCGCATTTGGAACGTGTGATTTTAGGCGATGATTATTTAACCAGGGCAGCATTGTTGATTTTATTATATAAGTCAATAATCTTCTCTATTCCCCAGATTTAGTTAATCTTCCTAATTACAAATTAGCATTCTCCACATACCAGTCCTAGATTTCCAAATTAACACCCCCGCTTCTAGGGGACGGTGAATCAGCCATGCTCTCTAATTCCTCCATGGACTGTCTGACGCACAGCAGATTTCTCTCTCCACCTCCTTCTTCTTCTTCTGTCATTTTCCCCCTCAATTGTCTGCTTCAGAGAGAAGGGTGGTGGGGAAAAGAAGAAAAAAAAACAGAGACTGCAGCATTGGCATCCCTTTTTTTTTCCTTCACACACACTGCTGGATCAGTATGTTTTGATCAGGAGCATTAATAACAATTAGGAACCTAAATGGTGAGGTGGGGCCTAACCGTTTCCCCCTGTCTCTCTTCATCAGGGAATATTGGCAGCGCTTGAGGATCGTTAGGTGGCGCTGCTTGGAATATGACAGAATATCTAGATGAGGCTTGTCAAAATGTTTTGGGTGGAGTGCGGTAAATGAATTCTGATAGCATGTTAATATGAAGCATTGTATCATTAGACTGTGGGATCGTCGGATTTGTTGTGCGGCTTATAATGAAGACAGAATAAGACTCTATCTGGCAGTGAAAATTATATTTCAGCAAGAAATCGCTTTTAGAGATTTAAACTGTTTTTAATTTATATCGTTTATGCATTATTTAGGAGTTTTCAAGGCAGTCAAGCGCATCCTCGCGACTAGACGAAGAACATAAATAAGTAAGCCGATAATAAATAACCACACACACACACATACGAAAATTAAACTTAAATCTTTTCATACCATTAATTACATTACAACAGAAACGATCGGAAAACTCTTGCAAATGTTGTTGCGCATTATCAAACATCAAGCATTAGCTAGCCGTGTTTACAATGCGGCAGACATTCCTCCAGTGGCCAAAATGTTTGATTTCCCCCAGAACCGATGGTCAAAACATTGAACTTTTCCGTCGCTATCAGTGCCGTCTTTGAGGGTTTAAATCCCCACTCTTCCAGCATGAAAGCGAGAGATGAAAACACGCTCTCAAAGTCCCACGTCAAATACAAAGTTAAGGGCAACAAGGGTGGAAATAAACAGATTTGAAAAAGCAATCAACATTTCCCTAAAGCTCAGAAGCTGATTTGCATCAGATTCAGAGATCATGTTTTATTTATCAGTAATCACAACCAATCAGGAGAGAAATTAATCAATGAAAGCGTTAGCAGGAGCGATATCCGGCCATCTGGGGGTCACACTTATCTCGCCTTCAGCCTGACACGCCGCCTCACTCCCGGGCACCCGCTTTTCGCCCTGATCCGCCCCCACCCGTTTTCCACTGGGCTTGTCATGGGCTCATATTTAGGTGACTGATTTTTTTTTTTTTTTTTCTCCAATGAGCTCTAAGGAACTCCATATGGCCAGGATCAAAGGTGTTGCTGGGTGCATGGTTCTGCTTTATTGCCAGCCGCTGCTGTTAATTAGAAAACAAGATCAGAGGCAGTATTAAAATCCAATTAAATTGATATGAACAGATTGCCAAGTGATGTTCGCTAATGTATAATTGAGCACCATGCAAATTTCAGTGGCTGCCTTTTGTTTTCGCATGTCTCTTCGTCTATCTCTCTCACACAGAATGAGCAATGGAGCTTGAAAGTTTTTTTTTTTCTTTTTTTTTTGGCTTCTGCTAAAGATAAACAAGTTAATGCTATGAGATGGGGGGCACCGCTTTCATCAGTTAAGCTAAACCGATACTTTCCCCGGTGCTACGGGGATGCTGGCTAGGGTGCAGAAGGGCAAGGAGAGACAGACCCGACCTCACAGGGATAGAGATTTGAGAACGCCTGTTTGAACATGCCCACTGGACAGGCTGAAGTGAATCAGGGACTTGAAGTGAATCATAAGGCAAGCCGGCAGCATATCTGTATCCTTTTTTATCATCAGGTAAGATGCCATTTACCCACATTGATAATTACACCGAAACCGATGTCAGGTGGATTCTGATCAGTCTCGGAGCAATCTGATTTGCGTGTGGTGTTCAAAGCCACGCCCCCATATTCAGGTCTTTATGAAAATACTTTGATTTTACAAAACTTGATTGCTGTTCACTTTTCAACATGTTCAGAGTGCATCCCCTGCTTTATTTTCTCAGAAAATGTGTTTTCTATTCTCTCAATGTTACACGACATGGCTCAACAGTCAAACAAACAAAACATAATAATAATACAAAAATAATATTTCAAACATTCATCAGAAATATAGACAAATATAGCATTCACTTCATCAGTTTTCAGTTACATCTATCGAACTGTCTTAACAGAGAAAATCTTACAAAATATAACCATATATATCGAACGCATTCTCACCCCAAGGCGTCACCTTTGACCATGCTTCAATATTTGACGTTTTAGGCGCCCTTTAGCGTCACTTACATGGCGTCATCTAACTGACGCTAAAGGAAAGCGTCTGTTAGAGGACGCGGTTAGGTTTAGGTGTGGGGTGGGGGTAGGGTACACGCGATCCTAGGGCGTCATCTAACTGACGCTAAAGGGCGCCTAAAGCGTCAGATATTGAAGCATGTCCAAATGCTTCCCAAGGAGTCAGTTAGGTGACGCCTTGGGAGTGAGAATGGGCTGATATATCATATCAAATATTCCATAGCTGTTTTTTTTTTTTGTTTTTTTTTTTGAGTTGCTGATAAGAGGTTCTACGAATTTATGATGATCATATAAAAATTAATTAATTTATAAAATTAATTTATTTATTTATTATTGCGCACCACCTTAGACTTGGTGATTTTATCAAATTGCAGGTAAAATATAAAAAGGGGACATTAAGCAATCTCTTCTCTCTCTCTGTATTTCCTCTTTGGAATCTATAAATAAAAAGTAGCAAAATATATTACAAATGTATCAAATGTACAACAAACATACTGTGAAATACAGTTGCTCACTTAAAACATCAATATTAGAGTACTGTAATTATAACCGTACCACATTTGTCGCCTTTGGCTTGCTAACGGGGGGGGCATTAAGGCGCTCCGTAAATCTGCTTTGAAAATCAGCTTTGCATTGAGATGCACCATGAAAAGCGTGATACGAACTATATGTTAACTGTCTGATTTTGCAATGTCATTAGTGTTACACTTGCGTGAGTCTTGTGTTATTTTTCTGAGCAGGGGTGAAAATCATTTTGAACTGGGAAATCTTACAAGATTGATTTTGTCGCTAAAAACCTTACAAGAAGGTTTTTTGCCTTTGAAACTTGATGTGTGAACCAACTAAAGTGTTTTCCCAAACAAAGAGAGACGTTGTTAAGTCTGAAAATGGGATCACATGACACATTGTTTCTCACATGCTTTCACACCTTCAATAACAATGTGTTGTCTTCCTGTTCGTGACACATCCTGATTGTGTGTGCGTTTGTACATGCTAGCATGCTTTTATACATAGATCATGTCTGCATGCATACATTAGTATATGGTTTCATTGACATGCAAATTAACTATGAAAACACACCACAAGACAAACACAACACATTCCTGACAAACAGCACAATTTCCAGTGCTTGTGCCTAATCAATAGACATCCTACATCACCACGGTGGTGACAAATCTGTGACGGAGAGAGACTAATAAGGAGCATTGTTCGCTGGTGAATGACATGACTGCACTGCCTGGAAACGTGCACTTCAGCGAGCCGGGCTACCGATGCTCTGAGGCCCCGAATCTGACAGGGGGGTACCGGGAGCGCGGAGTGGCTGCAGCTGTTGGTCTTTGTGTATGTGTCCCTCCGCCCCCAACGTCAGCTGAAAGGTCCTTGCAGTCAAGTGAATAGCGGGCGAAAAAAAAAATTCCTTCATTCCCACAAAATAGCACGCTAATGTCAGGAAATAAAACTCGAGTATCGGAAATTGCGCCAAAAGCTTCACCGTAAATTGCAGATAAAGGGAAATATGCTTTTTTTATGAATAGCAATAAAAAACCTCAATAATTTGCAATAAAAGGGATATGTGAAATATGTAAAGGCATTGGTGTGGCACAGGAGCTCGGAGACAGGGGTGGCTTTGGGGTGGGGGTGGGGGGGGGGTGAGTTCGGCATTGACAAAGTCGTCGAGAGCAGGGGTTCTGATTGAGGAATCAGTGCTATTCACGTGAGGTTTAAATAAACCAAATCTGGCCCAGGAACTGTCTGTAATAAACGAAAAACATGACTGGAGAACTAAATTTATTCATCTCTTCAGATTGTCCAAGGTAAAAGCACTAATCAGACAGATTGTTAACGCTTTTTGTTTTAAAAAATAAAAAACAGGTAGAACATTAGTCTCATGCCATTTCTAAAGCATAGTTTAGGGAATAGTTCACCCAGAGAATGAAAATTTGGTCATCATTTACTTAAACTGTAAAAAAAAAAATAATCCTGTAAAAAAACGGTAAACTACTGGCAGCTGTGGTTGCCAGCATCATACCGTAAAAATATGGTGTGCTACCGTTTTAAAAATAAACAGCTAAATACCGTTTTGTCAGCTACAGCTAAATGCTGTTAATTTACAGTTATTCAGCATACTGTAATTTAACAGCTTAATACTGTAGCTGACAAAACGGTATTTAGCTGTTTATTTTAAAAGCGGTAGCACACCATATTTTTACGGTATGATGCTGGCAACCACAGCTGCCAGTAGTTTACCGTTTTTTTACAGGATTATTTTTTACAGTGTACCCTCATGCTGTGCCAAACGTAAAATTGGTATAAATTCGAATCATGCATCGTTTATAGTGACCACAGATGTAAATCTCCACAAAGAAACACCATTAAAGAAGTCCATCTATCTTCTGCACTATATTTCAAGTCTTCTAATCTTTGTGTGCCAATGCCAATCTCATCAAAATTAATGAAATATTACGGCTATAATGCCTGCTGGATGTCAAAGACGACAAAGAGTCTTGTCACTAAATGTCACACACCATATTTGACTTGAAAGCTGAAACAAACGTAAGGGAACATTTTATGTGTGTAAAACTATGGCTTCAGAACATTTGAAATATGTCATATAAACCATACAGACCACTTTAAAGGTGGTCAATGGTGGTTGTTGGGGATTAAAAAAGAGAAATATTGTTGTATTGAACATTGCCATTTATTAATGACAATTATAATGAATAAAAAACAGTTTGAGTTATCATTTGAATTGTTTTAAAATCGTTTTATGACACAGAACTCTGTATTCAAATAAAATGAGTAAAACCACCAAGGTGTCTGATCACCAACAAAATGATGTAGTCAATGATATCTCAGTGTTTGTGAGATGTCACAGTACATCACCGAAAGCCCTTCCAAACCTCTCTGCCTCCGTCTCAGCGTGCATTTCACACGCATTAATGTATGACTGTAACATAACTGTCCGGCCATTACCACTAAATTATGCACTGGAAAATTTTCTCTTTATTAAAGTCATATTTCGCAGTGGCAGATGGTTCCACGCTGAGCTGAAGCAAGGAGCATAATTAAACGTGACACTTTCCCCTGATCCAGTTTCCAGAGATGGCCTTGGCGGTGGGGCGTTCGCCGTGCATTGACTCTAGTACCTAGATCTGCCACCTCTGTCACTGACTGTTATCATCCAGAAAGACACACACACACATAATGTATATGTGTGTTCATTTGTTAGAATAGAAATCCCTGTGTGTGAATACCGGCATATGCATATGCGCCAGCTGAGAAGGGTATATGATAGTATATATCTTTGTCAAAAACCACTGCAGTCATATTTTAACGTATTTATACTTGCATTATACTTGCTATACTGTGTAAAAAGAAACCTTGGTAACAATATACAATAAGGCCCCATTAGTAAACATTAGTAAGTGCATTAACTAACAATGAGCAATGCGTTTGTTAACGTATTTATCTTTGTTCATTTGTCAGTCTCTTTGTTAAAGTAGTTAATAAAAACACAACGGTTCAGGTACATTAAATATTAACAGATTCTGATTTGAATAATGTATTAGTAAATGTACATTAACTAAGATTAATAAATGTTTTAGAAGTTGTTTTTTTTTGGTTCATGTTAAGAAATGGAAACAAATTGTAAAGTTTTACCAAAAAATGTATAAATATACAGTATGTATTTCATGTGTATCTTTCAATCATGCAGCAAAATTTTACAATCAAGGAACTTAGGTTTTCAAATCTTTGCCAGACCACAGACTCTCTCAAAATAAGCACAGAAAATGAATCACTTTGTAAACAACATGAGTATTTGACTATATTTCAGAGCTATGAGCATTTTAGCTTACGTCACAAGACAAACTCCTTTGGTCTTTCTAGACTTGCAAATGTTTAAATGGCCGTCACTTGCACGATTTAAAAAAGAGATCATTGAGGAGTGTATTTACAATAAAAACACACTTACTTCAGCAGTAAATTAGAGGTATTTATGCGGCTTTCTAAAATAATTGCTTCTAAATAATGTCAA